TGTAAGGGCTTATGGAAAATTAGATTTTTTTGGAGGATGAGGAAATAAAAATGTAGTATGTGTATTTAATAAACTTAAAAGATTGAATGATTTTAAGAATATGATGAAGTGTTGGGAATAGGTGAATATGAATACAATGATTTTCTTTATTAAAAAGGGGCGAGAGAGTGTTATGTGTGAAAGGGAAGAGTATGGAAATGGAAAGAGATTGTAATCTTTAAATAGGTTGAAAATGTTGGGGGTGTGTGAGAATGTAGAATTTAGGGAGAGGTTGAGTAGTTTTATGGAGCAGAAAGAAAGGTATATTCTTTTAGGTTAAGGCTGTCTTCAAGAGGAGGATGAGAAATTTACAAGAAGTTGTATGGAGGGAAGGTTGAGATGGTTAGCATGTTGGATGAAAATTATATGGGGGTGAAAAAGTGAGAGAGGAGGTATGGAGACTTTTTACAAATTTGTATATAGTGGAGTTTTGTTGTGTTATTGGAGGTGATAGATGATTTGATGTATGTACGTTAAAAGTGTTAAAAGATAGTGAGAGCTCAAACTCTATGTGTGAGAGTATAATTGTGTTGTATAAGAAAGGGAGTAAAGAGGAGTTAAAGAATCATAGCTGAATGTGGATTATAAGTAGATTGTTAAGACAATTTTAGATTGGTTGCATATCATGATTGGTAAATTGTGGTAGGGGGAGTGTCAGTCAATCACAGTGGCCACTTGATTAAGCAGTCCTTCCCACCATAAAGACCCTAATATTGCCTTCAAATGTGTCTCCTATAAAAAAAAAGGTTTTGTTCTGCAATTATGTGCAATTTTTTTTTAGACCTGTGTCTAAAACAATGCAGTTTGAGCTTTTTTTCTGGCAGAAATAGGCTTAATCTCTAATTTAAAATAATTTTCCCATCAATAAGGGTGGAATTCTCAAATATTTTACCTTTCTTTGACCTCTATTCCACGTGTGTCTTTTTACTTTTGCACTCTGTGATGTCATCACTAATGGTGTTGTTGGTGGCTTGGACTTTAAATTCATTAGTCTATACACATCTATGTTTTACTGTATTGAGAAATAAAGACTAAGCTCTGTCAAAACATTGACAATAAAATGCTGTGATCCTATGAACAAAGTACTTCTCCAAAACTACTATGCTTATATTACCCAGTGATTTCTTTTCAATTCTTTTTTATTATTTTTCAGAGAAGGATTACAAGTAACAGAGATAGGTTCAAACAGAGAATATACAGAACCAGTATGCATAAACACATATTAGTACCATTGTGGCACTACGCACCTAGGTCTGGTGGGACCTTAGGGAAATGGCCCATGACTTACAGTTGTATACAGAGTAGGTATCAACAATGTTGTCAAAATCTGTGATCAAAAATTGAATTGACCTTTAATGCCCATAGAGCAATACATAGTACCACTTATAGACAACAATAACAAGAACCAAGGGAAAATAAAAGAAAGAATAAGGGAAGGGGGAGAGACACTATAAGAATAGAAGAGCGGGAGCAGAGAAAATTAGAACTAGAGCACAGATGCAGCAAAGACCAAATCAAAGCACTGTGATGAACAAAACAGTATTTTCATACAGTTACATCATGGGATAAAAAATATATTTGTCCAACAAGACCATTGTAGATCAAATTTTCCCATATTTTGACACTGAAATGCCACTGCTCTCTCGCAAATATAATTTGAGTTAACTCTATGGATTACTTCTATAATGTAAGGAATCCTCACTGATTTCCAAACAGCAGTGATAGACATTATAGCAGCGATGAGAATGTGACCCACAATTGTTCTATATTGGGCAGGGAATAATTGTAATGTAATATAAAGAAGAGCTAAGTGAGGCGCTGGGTTAGTGATCGTGCCAGAGACCCGTGAAGTGAGTGCAAAGACTTCCTGCCAGAAATTCTTTAAGAGGGGGGCACCTCCACAGAATGTGTAGTAAATTGCCCTCCTGTCCGCAATTCCTCCAGCAAAGGGGTGACGTATTGGGATACATTTTAGCAAGAGTATACAGAGTTAGGTAGCTACGATAGACAATTTGTAGAGAGCAATTCCAGTGATTTGTGCATTTGGTAATGCTTAAGTTGTTGCCCAGTGCAGCCTCCCATTCATCTCTTGTAAAAGACCTATTAAGATCAGTTTCCCAGTTACTTATGTTACGGGGGGTAGCAAGGTCAGTATCATAATGTAAGTAATTATAGAACCACGAAATCCCTTTTTTTAGTCGAACAGGATTCATCATGGCTTGCCAGAATTTGAGGTTGATTTCAACCCACGTCTTCAGATGCACTCTATGATAACTTCTGATCTATAAAAGGGAGTATAGACCTTTGCTTGGGGTGGCATTCCCTGTTTCAGCAAGAGTAGTATAACCCAACTCCCGTAAAGGTCTGGTGTCGAGGTTAGGGATAAAGTGTTCATATGCTAGAAGGGGAATATCTATTTGAATCTTAGAAGAAGAGGGAATCATTTTATTTACGCCATAAAACCATGCCGCGAGTGATGCGGCAATGGATAGCGGAAAGGTATTGAGGAGAGTGGAATGGGCTGCTTTAGCAAATACTAAAGCCTGAAGATCTTTGTCAGGTACTATAGATTTCTCGATTTGTACCCATAGTTTGTCTGAAGGGATGAACCACTCCGGGAGTTGATCCAAAATAGAGGCATAATAATAGCTGGAAAGTACTGGGAGACCAACACCCTGTTGTGGACCTTTTGAAATTATGTATCAAAAACATGACTTTATCTGACAATAACCCAGCCTAGCCATCTGTTAAGGGTTAACTTGTCTTGGTTGGAAAGTCGAATGACCGTCCAGTTAAGAAATGTACATAATGAGTGAAGTGAGCTTTTTCCAAGACAATAAGACTGTTTGGACTGTCAACAAATACTATTTATATATTGGGGTTGAGTGGAAGACGTCTACAAAAGTTAAATAGACAGCCAAATAGGACTTCAACCTTCAAACATTAAGTCATAACACATGAACAATAATGAGACGTAAACTCAACTGGTTGAAAGTTTGCCTAGAACCTTGCAAAGTGTAATGAACCAACAAACCTCTCGAACTATCACAATATGCTATTATCCACTAAGGTTGAAAGTATAAATGTCTGTTTACTCTGACTCCAACACAATAGCCAGGTAAACAGAGGGTCTTTCCTACCTACGGGAATGTTTGATTCTGAAACAAAAAGGTTAAATTCAGGACATTTAAGGCTAAGAATTGAATATATCTACCCACAGAGATATTACTAAAAAGCATACTATCATATGGATGTTACAAAGAATCTGTTTCACACACCACAAAATATTCAGCTGAATGGGGATTGTATATCACTAACTTGAGTATTGAGATGAGAAAAAATAAGAGATATTGTGAATTAGCATTAGTTGTATGTCTTATCAGGAAACAAATGCTTTCACACAAGTTGTATCTCAGAGAGATAAATAACTGAACATACACAGATATTCCATGGTTCCTATTTAGAACATTATAGGTATGATCAACTATATATATCTAGGATAAGACATATAGTTAATACCTAAAATCACCTTGAGTTCCATCCGAGGTGTGAGTCATCACAAATACTCAAATTGTTCTATGAGCTCTGACCGCCACTTAGTGGACAGGTGAGAGATAGCTTAAATACATACATTTCTCAACCAGCCAATCAAAAAGCCTGGTGGGAGGGTCTCTTAGAACAATAGTTTAGTTGGTATAAAAAACCCATGCACCTGATTTAGAAAAAGACCCTCACTAAGAAAAAAACTCATTGAAAAAGAACCTCATTGAAAAAAGGAACAACTGACTGAAGAAATCTGAAGACTGAAATCCATCTCTGCTGTCTATCAACTCTTCCATCTTATCAAACTTCTAAATTTCTAAATCTCTGTACTTCTATCTTCCTACATTCTCCCACACTATTGAACTATATCTCACTTTCCCCTGTGGTCATCATTCTGAAGGTGTTCCATTGCCAGTTGGATCCACTGGGAGGTGTCATATTCCTAGATCTGGGTGTGGTGAGACTGTCCATTTAATTTTGCATTGCATATTTTCTCTGTTGTGTAGAGTAACAGAATTACCTTAGTGTATCACAGCTGTATTGGGTGGATATATATATAGAGAGAGATCCCGTATTACTGTTAGAGATTGTTGGTGTCATATTACAAATTTTCCATATTTGATAAATTATTAAATATTAATAATTAGAGTATAATTTATCAGAGAATATCTTCTTCCAATCCTATGGCCACGTTTTGTGAGAATATAACCTCTGAGATACTCTAAATTATTAGTTATTAATAAATTTAATTTTTTTAATCATTATCATTTAGAAGATTGTTATATTGTTTCCCATTATTTAGAAATATTATTATTGTGTATGATATTGGTAGGATATATCTTTGACCGTGTGTATCAATATTCATTCATCACCAGTCTTTTGCGTTTTGTGTTAATATATATATAATTTTTGTACATAAATAAATTTTTATATTTATCTATTATAAGGCAAATTTTGTGTGTATGGTACGAAATCATACTGGCTAAAAGAATTCAAGGTCTAATAATCAGTGGTGATCAAATTATCAAGGTGTCCAAATTATTGGTTTACTAAATATTTGCCGTATTTTAACGGCTGGAGGCACTGTAATATTTCATCTAAGGGAAAGGGACACCGCCCTTTATAAGTAGAATAAATCCTTACATAAACCACCACAACCCCCTTTAGATTTATGTTTAGAAAGGGACAGGAAAGATATTCTCGGCTTCTTCCCTTGCCATATATAGTTTTTAATAGCCACCTCCAATTTATTAAAATAAGCATGTGGTATAACGATTGGAATCGTTCGGAAGTAATATAATATTTTGGGAAGAATCAGCATTTAAAGGCTGCTACTTTTCCTATCCATGAAATTTCAAATTTGTTAAGTCGCTGTAACTCCGCTACAACAGACTGGTATAGCTTTTAAAAAATTATCCTTAACCTCCCTGGCGGTATTCCCGAGTGTAGTTCAGGGTAAAATTTCAGTACCACAAGCGGTAACCCCGAGCTACACTCCGGTTTACCATACGGCGCTGCTCCGGGATCTGTTCTTCTCTTACCTTGTCCTGCGCTCCCGCGATATCTCTCCTGCAGTGTCCCCTGTAATGTCCTCTGGCAGATGCTGGCATCTGTCTTCTGAGGTCGGGACGTACGGGGACGCAACGGCGGGAAATTTGAAAATGACAAAAAGTGACATTCACTAAATTCACTAAATCACATAGTAAAACATTACTGTATCAAACCATTTCACATACATTTTGTCCCTAGTGCTTTGTCCTATGCCCTGCCTATATTTTTACTGTTCTTTCTGCCTGGAAACTGAGAAACATCCATGGGGTCAAAAAGCGTCGATTTAGGTCAAAATCGGTTTTAGACCAGCTAGAGAACAGCGATAGTAAATTAGAACTACTTGCAGAACTGAGTGATAATTATTAGTGGGGAAATTCATCATCATACACTGAAAACGATTTTGCGACTTTGCTCAGTGATGTGCGAACTTGGCGCTCTATTTAGAATTTCAGTGTTTTTGGTTTGATTATATTATTGAATTAAATTTATTATTATTATTTTTTATGATTATTTATTAAATTATAATTTTTGATTTCGTGTTTCAAATTTTAACATACCTGGAATGTTTACTAGACTCTTGTTCGGACAGATTTCAGTGAGTTATTCCTAAAAATTACAGGCTTACAATAAAAAAAATACATATTTCCATGCAAAAAAAATGTACCACTTTGAGCACAGAAATATGGCCATAATCAGACCGCTAGGGAGGTTAAAAGTTTTAGAAGTTGGATACTAGATTAATATGCCAAGGAAGTCAGTAAGTAAAAATATATTTGTGAACAAAATACAAATTTTATTTAATTTGTTCATTTTTCAAAAAATTGTGCAAATTATTATATCTTAAAAAAACTCGCCATGCCTCTTACTAAATACCTTGGACTTTCTACTTTTAGCCTAAATGTATGAAGAAAGATTATTTATTTGCAAAATTGTATAACAGTAACTATGAAAAATATTTTTTGCAAAATTTGTGTTAGTTTTTCATTTATATATAGCGAAGAATAAAAAAACCCCCGTGGTGATTAAATATCACCAAATGAAAGCTCTATTTGTGTTAAAAAATAAAAGATTCAAATTTCAGTTTGCTACAGTGTTGCATGACCAAGCAATTGTCTGATAAAGTAATGCAGTGCTTAATAGCAAAAAAATGCTCTGGTCATGAAGGGGGTAAAACCTTTTGCAGGACAAGTAGTTAACCTGTAAGGATACTTATATTCTAGTAACCAAAGAAAAACTGTATTCATTATAGATCTCTATGGTGATAACCTGAAAGCAAAATAACAATGTAATAAACCATTTTCTATTGCATATAACTTGTATATATAGTGTATTAACAAGGAAAAAATTATATTCAATCCCTGGTGGCATATTGCATCCAGTTTATGTATTCATTGAGCCTCTTTTTGTTTAAGTATCTGCCCCCTCTCCATCATAAAGGGGTACATGATTAATTAGCATACACTTTAATTGTGCCATTGGGATCTATCCACAAAATGTCTAGCCAATGAGAATTCACACTTCACACTCTACTAGAATGTATGTGGGTATCTATTCATTTTTTTCACCTTTTGGGTGGTTTTGCCCAAATAAAGGAGACTGCATATGAATTTTTTATGATGTAAACTACATATGATGTTTGACAAATAAAATAATTATTAATATTGATCTAGTAACCCCTATTTGGTTGGGTGGAGGATCTTCATTTGATTATATTCAAACAGTGGCTTAAATTTAAGCAGGGAACACTTTTAGCACTTCATGCTTTTAATGACAAAAAACATTTTTTTTTCTTTTTTTCTACTTTGGTAATCAGTTCTTATTACCCAAATTTGGAAACATTTGGCTTCTCCTAAAGGATTGTATTTGTAAATTCCAATATATCCAGATAGTTCTCTTTCAAAACATGCCGATGCCTTTTTATAAAGGTATAGACATTGGGGTTATTTACTAAAACAGGAGGGAAAAATCTTGTGCAGCTGTGCATGGTAGCTAATCAGCTTCTAACTTCAGCTTGTTCAATTAAGCTTTGACAAAAAATCCTGGAAGCTGATTGGTGTCTATGCAGACTGCACTCTCCAGTTCTAGTAAATCAACCCAATATCTGAGTAGCAATAAAACTGTGTAATGAATGCACCATACACTGTATGTGTGTATCTATCTATCTATCTATCTATCTATCTATCTATCTATCTATCTATCTATCTGTCTATCTATCTATCTATATATCTTATATATATATATATTATATATATATATATATATATAAATATAGTATACACAGTATATAGTATCTTGACTTGTATGTATATATGAAAACTATGAAGAAAACAACCCTAGTACTCAGAGAAAGCATCCAACACTAGTAAAGAAAAATTATGAAAGCAGTTTCTGAACAAAATATTTAGACATTCATGTAATACTTTTTAAATGTTTTCGCTATGAGTGAAAGGTAACTATTATTCTGAAATAAATGCTGGGCATGCACAGTATCAAACATTATTTTGTTTTACCAGAGAAGGACTGGCCACATAAGCAACCTGAACACTGGTGCATTTGTGTTTCACAATGGCATGGAAACTCTTGCTGAGTATTGTTCTGGCTTAGCAACCCCTATTGCTCTTATGGATGAGGAGGAGGAGATAGTTGCTACTTTTCCTCAATAGGGATGAGCTGATGGTTTGGCCCAAAGCTAGTTTCAGGCCAAACTTTGGCTGTTTGGTCATTTGAACAAATATGCAAACTTTTGTCCATTCAACCCCTTGTTCATCAATATCAATTATAGAAGTGGTATCTCCATCATTTTCTGTATATGACAGCATCCCATTACCACTAGTTTTTTTTTGTGTGAATAAGTGGGGGGGTAGTATGTATCCCTACTCATTCATGAAGGGGGGATTCCAATAAGCCCTCCCCCCATCCACTCACTGGCCAGGGTTGTGGGGAACAGACTCTTATTCTTCATTTTGTTGCATGGAGTCTGTACCAGACTTAAAGGAGTTACATAGTTGGTAAGGTTGAATATAGACACCAGTCCATCTAGTTCAACGAGTGGGGGTGTATGTGTGTGTTTAATGAGTTGACTTACTAAAGGCAAACAGACTGGTCACTTTGCAAAGGAAGTTGCACTTTGCAAGGGAATGTATCCCACAGCTCTGTGAATGAGGTGAAACTCTGCTGACTTTCATTATCCAATCATGTGCAAGCAAAAAGTGTTTTTTTTTTTCTATTTCCCTTGCACACGATTTGATATTCTCTGCAAAGGGAAACTTCACCACATTCACTAAGCACTGGGGCAAATTCTCTGGCAAAGTGAACAGCCTACTTCCCTTTAGTAAATCAACTCAACCAATTCATTATTAGAATGGGCAGAAAAGAAACAGAGTTAACCTATGTTACGTGTATTTGTGAATACACCCCAATCCTTGTAGGAGTATTTACAAGTACACAGCTAGATATGAGAGATCCTACACAAAAGAGGTAGTTCCATCTGCAATATACACTTATTAATAGAGGTACATAATATATGCAAATTACACGCTAAGCATTATTTACAACACAATGTACAGTTTAGGTCCCTTGACTTATACAATATTTACAATTTACCCACAAAACCATGTTTAAAATACAATGTACAATACAAGTATGAAGTTAGTTTACCTCTCAATTTCAGGTCTGCTGTGTGTCCCAACACAAAAAGACCCACAGCTTGGTGACCAAGCATTATATCCCCCCCTCATTTCTGTACTGTGGCTAATATAATGCTCCCTACTTGGTTACTGTACCTAGCAAATGTATATTGGGCGCAGCCTGATTGGAAGTTCAAAGAAGGCTGCTGTTTACAACTCATGTGAGACGTGATAAAAGGACAACAAAAGACCGGAATTTATATAGTGGAAAACTATATACATTGACACCAGTATGGAAGCTAGGAATAGTTTGATGCTGCAAAACACTCAATGGTTTAAATACTGTATATTTCCATCTAACTAAAATATACTTGTAATTATAATATTATTTACATCTGTTAATGGAGATTTCACATAAAGTCATTATCTAACAACACTTCAGCAGTTCCTGGGAGCAATCTCTTTTTCTGCAGACTTTTTTGTCCCTGATTAGGATGTGTTTAGATGAGGTGTTGAACAGGAGGAGTGTCCACATAAAGTACATGATCTACTATTTTATCAACTGAGCACTATTAGTCATATGGCAGTACAACAAGGTTTTTATATCCATAGAAAGATGTGTTTGTTTTTTTTTTTATTATTATTTATAATGCATTAGATTTGTGCCATGAAGTCAGTTTAGTTGCAAATAGATATTAAGTGAATTAAAATAGCATTTTTCTACAGAATAGCATGTTTAAATGAAATGCCTTGTATGTATTCTTTAGACAACTATATGCATTTACAAAAGCAGGTGGAGTACATATGTCTGTAATTCCTCAGCCCACACTCTTTATTTCATAAAGTCATATGGTTGTTCTAATAGAACCTGAAACCTGCTTACTGTAATTATGTTCATATGCTTATGCAACCTTTTTGAAGTTTCCAATTACCATGATTTAATGGGTTCACAGCGATACTATTTTCTTGTGGTCATTTTTAAATTGCTTCACAACGAAAGACTAATGGAAATTAGGAGGGATCAGAAAGAAGAACATTTAAGCTGAATTTATTAATATGATTCTCAGTCAGTATTTTCATTTATCTAGCACAACACTGATTTACTCTACACCTTCCTGTGGCGCAAGAAATCATCCTTAAGCTTGCATTCAACTTCAGCCTTAATGGAGTGTAAATCTCTACACATACCATATTCTTATAGTATAGTAATAGCTAAATTTTCTGTCCAAACAGTACATGGATGATGACCTATGAAAAACTACATCAATTCTAGTCATTCAATATTTTATGTATTTAACTGAACTTAAATTCTCAATCATGAGAAATTCTCAAGCATGATTAATCAGCGCTGTTATGATTTGCACTTTTGCTAAGAACCCATTAGTATTGTGTAAACACATTTTTATAAGAATATAGGGTACTGAATGGACATATTAGTGAACGCATTATATAATGAGTGCAACTTCAGTAATTAAAGTTAGTGGCGTATATGTTTAAAATTAACACAGAAATAAAAGTGACAGTCTTTGCTGTGTACATTGGTTCCAAGGACTTTATTTAA